GTTGCCATTGTTTCCCCATGTATTTGCCATGAAGTGATGGGACCAGATGCCTTGATCTTAGTTTTCTGAATGTTGAGTTTTAAGCCAACTTTTTCACTCTCCTCTTTCACCTTCATCAAGAGGCTCTTTAGCTTCTCTTCACTTTCTGCCATAAGGGTGGTATCATCTGTATATCTGAGGTAGTTGATATTTCTCCCATCAATCTTGATTCCAGCTTGTGATTCATCCAGCCTGGCATTTCGAATCATGTGTTCTGCATATAAATAATTCTCCAGGTCAGAATACTGGAGTGGGTAGCCGTTCCCTTCTCCAGAGGATATTCCCAACCCAGGGATCAAACCCAGGTTTCCCACAATCCAGGCAGATTCTTTACCACTTGAGCCACCAGGGAAGCCCAAGAATACTGGAGTGGGGAGCCTGTCCCTTCTCCAGCGGATCTTCTGACCCAGGAATTGAACCAGGGTTTCCTGCACTGCAGGCAAATTCCTTACCAGCTGAGCTACCAGGGAAGCCCTTAAGTTAAATAAGCAGGGTGACAATATACAGCCTTGACACACTCCTTTCCCAATTCGGAACCAGTTCATTGTTCCATGTCAGGTTCTAACTGTTGCTTCTTGACCTGCATACAGGTTTCTCAGGAGGCACCAAACTTGTGCTTCTGATTGTTTTTTGTTTTTTTGGTGGGGGCAGGAGGGTTTCTACATAGACCCAGATTATAAAGCACCAAAAATGCAAATGGTTGTTCTTCTTGAGTACAAACTACCCATAACAGTTTTCTAAAATCAAAGAAAGAATATGGATACAATGAGTAAAATAAATACATAGCCATTTTTACGTTATTTATTCTAGGGATAGGTTCATGTCAAGGAAGAAGCAAGAACCAATAAGACCAAGAAGGACATACTCACGGAGCCTGCAAGTTCTTCTATTTGTATTTTTTATTTTTTTATATTTATTTATTTGGCCACACCAGGTCTTAGCTGTGGCAATGCAGGACCTTTAGTGGTGGCATGTGGGATCTAATTCCCTGACTGGGGATAGAACCTGGGCTCCTATATTCAGAGCATGGAGTCTTCTTAGCCCCTGGACTGCCAGGGAAGTCTCTCAAGGTCTTTTTAAATGAAGGAGTCTGATTTTTTTCTATATTATCATAAAGCAGGATGATATGTTATCGTTAGTGTTCTGTGTATCCTTTTTCTGATATGTTTCCTTCTGCTTGTTTTGCTTGTTTAAAGTTCTTTCCCCTGCATGGCTCAAGATTTTTTTTTTCTTTATACTGGTGATGAAGCTGTTCTATCTCAAGCTCTTCATTTGGCAACTGAGTAACTCCCTCATGCTTTTACACTGAGACAAAGGGTGAGTCACTCAAAGGGGCTCTGAGAGCCCTTGGAAGTGATATGGTCCAGTCTCATTACTGAGAAGGGTAAGGACTAGCTCAAGGTCATGCTATAAAAAGTAAGAGCCAGCTTTGAAATTCAAATACAAACAAGAGATCATCTTTAACTTACACATCCTTTGGACATGTTACCTAACCAGCAAGGCATAAAATGAACAAGACATTCTGTAGATGATTTAAGTAAGTAACAAATTCTAGGAATATCTACAAGAGTAACCACAGCCCATTAAAAGTAGAGCTATAATAACTGTCTACATAGGTCCATCCGTTATAAAGTCCAGGAACTCAAAGCTATAATATTGTTTAATACCATTTAATCTTACCATGTTTAGTGTATTATACTTTTTTGCTGAATTTTATTGCCCTTTTGTTCAAACTGTGGGTCTCTCATTTTTATTGAACAATTAATAAAAGAATATTTCTTTTGTATCCATCTTAATCATGATAAGAAATAAACGTTCCAGACCTTTACAAACATTAATATGTAAATTCTATAAATCTCCAAAAAGGGGTTGAGTTAGGAAGAGCTATATGATTTGCAGTTGTTTCATGATGGTCAAATCATTTAGAAACAGACTCAAGATTAGTTACACATACCATGAATAACAATAGGACAGCTTTGTTTTTTAAATAAAACAAACCACATTCATCTATTTAAGGATAAATGATTGTTGACCAAGGGCTTACAATTCTGTAGGCCCAGTTTCTGGGGGATCCTTTTCTTTGACATTGAGGACTATATTTACCCTAAACATCTATTATAAAATTGTGCATTGTTTGTTTATCTCTTAAAAAGGGTGCAAGCTGTATCAGCGTTCCTGGGTTGAAGGGTAATTTAAATAAGCCCTTCAGTTTATGCTGCATACAAGGCAGCTTTACAAGATCTAATCTTTTCTAAACCTGCTATGTTCTTTGGTTCAACAGAGCTTCCTAATTGTAGCTATTAGTTCCCTTTTTTTGTGGTCTGTTCTGTCAATAGACTATTGAGTGTTCAGTAAATTAAACCCGACCAGCAGCCAACACATCAAGACAGACGTTAAATCATAGCTTGGCTGCCCTTTTTCATTGTTAGTGTCTGTGAAATAGCTTTTACACACAGGGACAGGAGTTAACATGATGCACATTTGTGTCAGTCTCAAATTTCCATACTGTACAATCAGGTATGTGGGGTTTTTTTTTCCCTAAGCAACAGGTGTGTTCTTGGAACAAAGTTCAACCCCCACTTCTGGCTTATGGGAGAGGCAGCAGCTGCAAGCTTAATGTCAGTGACACATGGTTCTATAAGAGAGAAAAAATAAACTGCTTGTTCAATGTATTAAAGTCATGGGCAGATGGACAAAAGCTGCCTGCACTTCTCTTTGTGTTATAGAACCCAAGTCTACATTTTCAGATGACAAGTGTTTTTCTCTCTTTCTCTTCTCTTGCTTCCCTTCTTTCTTCTTTCCCCACCTTCCTTCCTTGTTAAAAAACTAACTAGTGAAAAACGCAAATTTCTTTAAGCATTATCTATTCATTATTGAGAATATTCCTTCGAGTCATGCTGTTCTCAGGCTGATGAACAGGGAGAAGAAAAAACTTCATATAAATCAAGCTACACTTTATTGATAACTCTCTTTGTTCTACAAAGAATTTAAAAGAACTGTTTACTCTGCAGCTTGAAGAGAATTACTTAGTATGCAAACCCTATATTTTTTAAAATGCAAAGTTAAATATACATATTTACAGGCTTCATTATTCCTCAGTAAAAGAACACTATATAGAATTTTGTGACATTACTAATAAGAATTATAATGTACTGTGTACCTCAGAAGTATACATTATATATAATATAATGTCAATATTAAGGGTAACAATACTAATATAATAATTATTATAATAGTTTTCAAGAGAGTAAACTATTCTTCAATTATTTAAGAATCTCTTTTAGTGTCTTGGGGCTGATACTCCATTTTATATGTTAGATTTCAAGTACGATCATGAGTCTACATATCAGAAGCTCAGCCACCATGTTACTGCAGACCTGGTTTCTGTAAACAGAGACATAAAGTTCAAGAACAAACCAGGGCAATTCTAGAGTTCTGTGATACATCTCAAGTAGGTCCTACTACACAGACTTTTCTAGAACTCCTGCATATCAGAGCTTCCTTTCTTTTGCCAGTGAGGATTTCAACAGGAATATTTAATAAAAAGGTCCATGAGACTGATCTTCATTTTTCTTAGATGTGATGAGCAAATACATTTCAAATGTGATGAGATAAACACCTATTTAATTACAATTCTGGAACCAAGGGAATAATCTGAGTTGCCAGATCCCCTGGAAGACTGGTGTTGAGTGTTGCGTATAACGTTTAATTGAAGAAGGAGCAAAAAGAGTTGTTTTTTTTTTAAACCGCAAACCACAACTTTATTCAAGAATCAGATTTTCTGTGAGTCTATACTGAAAATGGTTTTGCCGGGATGCTCTCTTGCTGAGAAATCTATAAGCGGATGGATTTTGAATTCAATCCTCTGCAAGAAACAAAGGCAAATGAATAAAAAGAACTTGAATAAATTTTTTTTTCTTCTAGGTTGTTAATTGGTTTGGCTTTTACTTTCATTAAAAGGACGCAAGAGGGAAAATGCTAAAGATTTTTAAAATGTATAGAAAGTGTCTAAACTGGGAGGCTAGCCTAGGTATCATTAAAAGTCTCTACCAATCCAGAGATTATCAAATTCTACAACTCTATTTTTCTTCAGGCTGCAGTTTAAAAACAAAAATTGTGGTAAAATATACATAATGCAAAATGTATCACATTAACCATTTCTAAAGTATACAGTTCAGTAGCGTTAAGTATATCCACATTGTTATGCATCAGATTGCCAGAATTTCTTCTGGAGTTTATTGCAAAAGTAAAACAATACCTATTAAACAAGTTCCTGTTTTTATCCTTCCCTCCAGCCCCTGGCAACCACCATTCTATTTTTTGTTTCTATGAGTATGACTACTCTAAATACCTCATATAAATGAAATCCTAAGTAACTTTTTTTCTTTTTCCGGCCATGTCGCATGGCTTGTGGGATTGTAGTTCCACAACCAGTGAAAGTGCCAATTCCTAACCACTGGGCCACCAGAATTCCCCAGTACAGTACCTTTTTATGACCTGGCTTATTTTACTTAGCATAACATCCTCAAGGTTCATCCATGTTTTCATTGTGTGAGAATTTCCTTTTACGAAAGAATAATATTCCATTGTATGCACAGACCATGTTTTCTCTATCCAGTCATCTGTCAACAGAAACTTGGGTTGCTTCCACGTTTTGGCTACTGTGAATAATGCTGCTATGAACATGGGTATACAAATATCTCTTTGAGATACTGCTTTCAATTATTTGGGGGTGTATATCCAGAAGTAAAATGGTTGGATCATATGATAATTCGGTTTTTAATGTTCTGCAGGACTGCCATATTCTTTCCCATATGGGCCGCAACTTTTACATTCCCACCAGCAGCACACAAGGGTCTCAATCCCTCCATCCTTCGCCAGCCCTGGTTATGACCATTATTTTAAAAATATTTTAATAGCAGTCAATCTCTCCACAGAATACAACAGAAGAAAGTACTCACATGGGTCTCCACGTCACCAGCCAGGATCCTACTCTTCTTTAAAAACTCAGCCACCATGCTGTTCATCAGCTTGTCGAAGGCCTCCACAGAGGGTGCCACACCTTTAGAAAAGAACGTTGTGTTATTCCTGGTAATTTGGTGAAAGCTGGAACTGCTTTGCCATAAGTAATAGGGAAGTCTCATGTCATTCACATCATTTTCTTTCTATTCACTAATTCATTCATTCACCCAATCAGTACTTATTAAACACTTCTCAATGGCTCAAGAAAGCAGTGTTTTCCTATATTTTTGTCCTCCTGAATAAGTAATCTTTTAATTGGAATATAATTGCTTTACAATGCTGTGTTGGTTTCTGCCGTACAATGAAGTAAATCAGCTACGTGTATACATATATCCCCCTCTTGAGCCTCCCTCTCACCCACCCAATCTCACCCTTCTAGGTCATCACAGAGCTGAGCTCTCTGTGCTATAGAGCAGGTTCCCACCAGCTAGTTATTTTACACATGGGAGTGTATATACATCAGTCCCAATCTCCCAGTTTGTCCCACCCTCTCCTCCCTGCCTCCTGGAGCCACATGTTCATCCTCTACATCTGCGTCTCTATTCCTGCCCTGGAAACAGGTTCATCTGTACCTTCTTTCTAGATTCCATACATATGCATTAATATTCGATACTCGTTCTTCTCTGACATACTTTGGTGAGTAGGTACTTTCACCTGCATACTTTCATTTGATTCTTCCCCAAACCCATGAGGCAGGTAGCATTGTCACACTTTGACTGATGAGGAAATGAAGATGCAAACAGAGAATATGACTTGTTAAGAGCTATACACCAAGTAAGTGGCAGATCCAAAAACTGATCATACATCCTGAATCCAAAGCCAGTGTACTTACTTCTACACTGACCTGTCCAAGTTCTATAATGACCTTGCAAATAGTTACCAAGATTATTCAGGACAATTAAAAGGTAATAATGAACTCTGGGCAAAGTAGGAAGACAGTTGATTTCACACATTTATTTACTTCCCCCTTCACTTCCCAGGGGAAGAGCGACATTGAGGGTAGGTGTAAAAATGACCAGTGCACTAATCCACAATGAATTCTGATCTGCTAAATTACTCTAAAGCTGAAGTGGCAATGGCCCAACCCGAGGTGTTCTGTATTTCTTTCCCTGACTTTTCATTAAAGAAACTTTTGTCTAAGTCTCTGACTGCATCTCTAATATTGAGAAAGATAATACTGACAAATTTAGCAGTACAGCCTATTAAGATTCAAAGTCAAACTTAGGAGTCCCATTCTTATACTGGACAGAAATATCCAAGCTCATAAATGCATAGGATAAACTTCCTTTCTTCTCCCTGGTTCCCAGTTGCCCTTTCCACAGGCCCAGAGAGTGATGGAAACAGTTGTTCAGAGTTCCCTGCACCTACTTCTAAGTCTCACTTCTAAGCAGGGTATTGAAGCTGAGTTATCATCTTAAGTTTAAAATGCAGTATGTACCAACTTCTATAACATAAAAGACATGCAAACCCAAAGATTCCTTATGGATCCATTTGGAAACAGATAAACCTGTTTGTTGCCGTGGAAGAGGTCTGAGGGGTCTCTGCCTAGTGTTTAAAGTGGGAAAAGGTTTTAAAATGTGATGGAGGCCTCTACATAGCATAAGGGACAATGATAAAAGGGAATATTTTTCAATTTCCTTCCATCACTCAGCTCTGCCCATACCTCCTCCGGGCAGCCTTTAATGACCTGTCTTTCTCCCCAGTCTGCATCCTTTGAGCATCTCTTAATCAAAGCATTTGAGGCCCAGAATAGTAATGCATCGAGACCAAAGATTTTGGAAGATTTAGGACTGTGTATAATTCATCTTAGGTTCCCCTGCATCTACCACAGTACTTGTTAATTGGCAGGAATGAAAATATTTCTTCAAGTATTGAGCCTAACTTACCTGATTGTCAAAGTGAGCAAAAAACACATCATAAAACACAACATAACACCAGTCTCTTAGGACAGTTCTTTGATCTGTGCATACTATATATCTGTAATAAACTGGCTCCTTCTACAAATTTCTTTTTAAATTAAAAAAATTAACTTTAGTTATAACATCATTGTAATGATGGTGTTTACATTTAAGGTGAAAAGATTGTCCTTAAGGATTTGTTAAAAATAAAATTTAGAAAATTACCAAAGCTGACTAATTCAGAAGAAGTGGAAATGATGTTGTTTAGGATAAGACAAGACTTTAAGGATGGACATCATTCAGACCTTTTACTAACTATCCTACTAACTAAGTACCTGTCTTCATTTCATACTATCAACAGGATAGTAAATTGCTTGCTAAGTTGTTTTAAGAGAACTTTAATAATCAGTTTGGAATGATTTGTTATACTAGAAACTGTGTTTAAATATTTAAGTAATTTAATTTAAGTATATGCCTTCCAAATTTGCTTAGCTTATTAATTTTCCCAGGAAATTCTTTTTCTATGAAGAAAGTGAAAAGAGCAGTCTAGTACCTCTTTGTGTAAGTGAGATTTGAATTACTGGAGTTTCTTTTTTCCTTAACTCAGCAACACTACACAGCCTCCTGGGAGTTGGAGTTTATTTTATGTATTCACAGGCTTTATATTTGTGGGCAGCAATCTCAGAAATGCCTTTTGATCACCTGATGCCAAAGGCATAAGGAAACAAAGTTACTGAAGAGAACGTGAAAATATTTCCTTACAAATAAAGTCTATTGAATCTCATATACCAACTGTATAGTTAACAAAAAGAAGCTTAAAATGAAATCATAGATGTGTCTCATTTGATGCGGAAAAAACTTACAGGCCCCTGGCAGCCTTCCTTTAAACAACATCCCCTTTCAATTCATTCAAAGCATTTTAATTTTCATTATGTTCGAGGGGTAGGGAGGGGGAAAAAACCCAGCCTGTGCATTTGTGTTCACACAGTAATTTCTGTCCCAGGGCATGTAATGCAAGGCACAGCTCCAAATACGCCTGAAATTCTAGAAGCACCAATGTGGATCTTGCCCAGTGAAAGCTTTTTTTTTTGAAGCCCCCTCTTCCCCAAGCCTTTTCTCAAGCCCCAAAAGACTGACAAAATTCAAAATGGGTCAGATAAGGAGGAAATGGGTGTGAGACAAGAATAGAGTTGGCAGATTAAATACAGATTGTCCATTTAAATTTGAATTTCAAATAAACACTGAATAAATTTTTAGAGGAAGTATGTATCATGCAGTATATCCCATGCAGTATTCAGAACACACTTCTACCAAAAAAAAGGTAGTTTGTCTGAAATGCACGTTTAACTGGGTGTCTTGTATTCTTATTTGCTAAATCTGCAACCTTAGACAAAAAGAAGTTGGAAAAATTACTGTAGATAACAGAGTTGGCCATGCATAGTATGTTAACTTTTTACATGTTTGATCATATAATTTTCTAAACTCTTTTTTTAACTTTTTAAAAATGTGTGGCATTAGCATATAATTTTAAAAACATACTTGGTGAGGAACGGTAAATGTAAAGCAATGTGATGTGATCATGTTACCTCGAAATAATACTTGGTTTCACGTCAGATTCTCTTCCTTCAAAACTGCAGTTCTTATACTTTATGACTTGTTCTCTTTAAAACTAAAAGGTACAGAATGATAGTTTCTTCCAGTTTACAGTCTAATCGAGAACATTAGCTTCTCTTTGGTAATGACTTAGATAATATATTCAGTCACTGAATGTGGAAGAGCAGCGTAAACACTGAGATGACAGAACAATGACATTCAGCTCACGGACTGTGCTGTTAACAGGCACAGATAGAGGTAATTTTTGTGGACTGTGGATTGAGACTTTCTTTTTCTCTTTTTGGGGGATCACTTGCATCTGGTTAATGTCATGGTGACAGAGAAAGGAGAAGTTCACAGAAATGTTCCACGAGAACCCAATGGTGGGAACAAAGTTAAGTGACCACAAAGAGACCAGTAATGACAACTGTGTAGTCCTACCTCCGTTGACACCGTTAACTTCCCCGCAGTCCCCAGGAGGCCTGTGTGACCCTGCAGACAACAGCTCCAGTCGGCCGATAGCCCGCTCCAGTCTTTCCATGAGCCCCTGCATTTCTGCCATCCTAGGAAAATGCAGACACAAATGGAGGCCATGTGAGCATCAGGGAGGATTAGCAAGCTGACACCATTAAACTTAACAGCAGCGAGAAGGAAAATAAAAATTATTCAGAATGGCTATGGCTTTAATTACTTAGAGAGTATTTTTACATGTCAGGGAAATAGGTGAAATTCAAAAAAACATTAAACTCACAGCAGAATAAAAACTAATTATATTGAGATTATTTTATTTTCTATTCAATTCAGGGATGTTTGTTTATTTATTTATTTTGCTATTACAATTGGTATTTACAGAGTATGCAATAATATAGGAAAAATATTTGAGTTACTACTCTGAAAAAAAAATCGGAATATAAAAAATACATATAAACAGAAAACCCCTACAATGTAGAAAAAATTTTTATAAGAGAAGATTATACATTGAAACACCAGTGTTCAACATGGGTGATGGGACCATAGATATTCTTCTCCTGCCATTACCAGGTATTTTCTGAATTGTATGTAATTAACAATAAATCCCAATTTTAAAAACAAAAACACTGCAAAATCCAGTTGAGATTTTTGCATAGAGCAAATTCAAAGAGTATGTAAGAGAGTATGCTGGAACACTGTGAGTGGAGTATGTCAGCGTCAAGTCAGACTCAGACTTTTCATTGCTCCTTACCAGCAAACTTGATAATGCTGCCTCAAAATGCTTTTCAAATAACAATTTATAACTACTGACTATATAATATCTGACCCACTGAAAAACACCCACCTTGGCTCCCAAAAGAAGCCCTGAGAATACTGTGTGTGTGTGCTTAGTCACTTAGTTGTGTCTGACTCTTGCGACCCCATAGACTGTAGACTGCCAGGCTCCTCTGTCCATGGAATTCTCCAGGCAAAAATACTGGAGTGGGTTTCCATTTCCTTCTCCAGGAGAGGTTTATAAGAATCATATTGCAATACACAAATATTTACTCTCTTTATACTGTTATCATGTGTCTCCATGTATGCTTCTTTATTCTATGATAAATTGATATATAACATTTATTTAAAAGCCTGTGAACCATTGCACTTGAAAATATGTGGGTTATTTTCAAATATCTTTTGATATTGATTTCTAACATAATTTCATAGTGATAAGAGAACAGACTCTGTATGATTTCAATACCTTCAGACCATGAAAATTTTGTGCCTTGTTTTATGTCCCCAGATATGTTCCAGTGTCTCCTAGTTTATAGTCTATGGGAACTTGAACAGAATTTATATCCTACTATTGTGTGAAAATTCTATAAATCTTAATTATGTTGAATTGGTTCATGGTGTTTTCAGGTCTACTATATCCTTCTACTTTTCTGTGTATTCGTTCTGTTAATTTTTGAGAGTTTGATATTCAAACTCCAACTAAAAATCCCAATTTATCTACTAAAAAATAATTGTAATATATAGGAACTGTATGTAACCGTGTTCTATATTTTCCAAGTCTCCTATAAATGTATCATACATTCATAATTTAATAAATAAGGAAAAGAAAAAAGCCCATGAACATATATCTCATAATTAACATTACCAACGTTCCTGCTAAATGGTTTCAACATGTTTTACCTATTTCCAATAATTCTGTTAAAGTATAATTCTACAGGGGACACTAAACCCAGTGATAACCCTTGCTTACTCAATTATTTTAAACCAAAGAGCCCAGCACAGAAGAAGTATGCATTTATCAAACTGTATCATTTGGCAACAGATGCCATTCCCTTCAAGAGCTAACTGTCTTCTACTTATTATCATTGGTTTCAGTGTTTTTGTAGATGAATTGTTTTAAATTAAATTTTTTTAATAGTGTAGGTTTTAGTTTAAAATAATAAGAATGAGAGAACATCCCTGGTGGTCCAGTGATTGGGAGTCTCCCTGCCAGTGCAGGGGACACATGTTCAATATTTGTTCCGGGAGGATTCCACATACCACGGGGCAACTAAGTCTAAGCGCTGCAGCTAGAAAAAGCCCATGCACAGCAACGAAGACCCAGCAGAGCCAAAAATAACAATAAAAAAATACATGAATAAATAAATAAAATAATAAAAATGGTTATTTCCATTTTCCGCTGGTTATTTTTAGAAAAAAATTTAGATTTTGTTGGGGTTGTTTTTGGACACATGGATCTTTAGCTACCCAGCACTCCTGGCTGGGATAAATTGGTTTCGAAGCTAAGGGACTGAGAATAAAAGTGGGCTGCGAATCTACCCTTCCTGCTTCCAAACAGATCTTCGCTAGCTACACTTAGTGTACGTGCATGTGCGTCCCCAGTCGTTCAGTCGTGTCTGAGTCTTTGTGACCCCATGGACTGTAGCTCCTCTGTCTATGGAACCTCCCAGGCAAGAATACTGGAGTGGGTAGCCATTCCTCCTCCAGGGGATCTTCCTGACCCAGGAATCCAACCTGGGTCTCTTACACTGCCAGGCAGATTCTTTCCCACTGAACCACGAGGAGGCCCACACAGGATATACTTTAAAATTACTGGCCCTGGAATGTAACGTCATTAAGGCCACCTCTGATGAACCCAATCTAATTTGGCCAGGTTCATCAGATTCAGGCATATGTACCATAACTGATCGTACCAACCTATGACTGCTTTGGGCAAAATCAGGCTGCTGCGCCAGACAGAGGGGCATGTCTCATTTTAATCAGTATCCGGACTTCTCACTCTTTCTTTTTAAGTCTTTATTGAGGCTGTTACAATATTGTTTCTGTTTCATGTTTTGGGTTTTTGGCCATGAGGCATGTGGGATCTTAGCTTCCGGAGATCAAACCCACACTCCCTGCATTGGAAGGCAAAATCTTAATCACTGGACTACCAGGGAAGTCTGGCTTCTACTCTTATGAACTCTCCAAGTATCATTTTGAACCAAAGAAGACTAGCATGCTCATACAAAAGAGACAACACTTCCCCAGAGTGTGGAGAAATTTTATTGCTCTAAGATGTGTAAATATTTTCCACTGCTTCTGGGAACCAGGTAAGGCATTCTCTTTTGTATTTTGTAGTCCATCAGTTCTGAGCATAAGCATAATAATAACATCCCACTGCCAATTTTTAACAGCGAGGTTATACGTATCGAAACATGTGGATGGCTCTGTAATTCTGTGTCCCAAATGTCAGATGGTCACCAGATACGGAAAGGGGAGTTCACTGTCTATTTTGGAAAGTCATCTCCTCTGAAACTGCCAGCAGCTACTCTTTCAAAATATGGGGCAGTGTTCTGTGTGCAGCTGAAATCAGCATCTAATCCCAAGGGGATTCAAAATTAGAAGTTTCTCATCTATTCTTTTCTTCAACGTCAGAGCTTTTGCTTCCATTGCAATTGAAAAAAAAAAAAAAAGAGGAGGGAGAAGAAATTTATTCGAGCTCTTTACGTAATCTAACAAGGGAACTGGGTATCCTGTAGGTGGGTGAAGGCCAACTGAGAAATGATAAAAGCCCCTGGATCTTTTAATAGTTGCCCATCTGTTCACAGTTATCTATGTTCCCTGTTACTCAACGTGCCAAATGTTACCACCATGGACCCAGCCCGTGATACAAAAACAATGTGTTTGCTTTGTTAGCAAGGTCTCTCTGCCCCACAATGGGGAAGCACCAACCACCCCCAGTCGCTCCCAGAGCTGTTCGGGAAGGCCTGGGACATTTCACACATAGGATTGCTGTCCCTGACGGTGGCTTAATCAGCCTCCCTGACAAGATTCAAACTCACACTATCTCACAGTACTCCATATGTTGAAAGACAACAGGAGTGAGCCCATAAACTGCAGGGCCGGGCAGATTGGTGTGGAATGCAGTCTAAAAGCGAATCAAATGTCATTTCGTGTAAGATCACCAGGAGCTGAAGTCTGGCCACGGCCTCTTAAGAGGTCAAAACACTGCTCATGCAAGGAAGCTGGAAAGATGCCTCTGGGTTTTAAATTTTAGAGCGGTATCTAAGAGACATGCAGAACAAATAAAAGAAAGACAACACCAGGGTATCAAAAATACACATGAGCATTCCCAGGGCAAATGATGGAGTCCAAGACGGCTGTGCTCTCTTCTCCTCCTCACTCCCCCCCACCCCCTCACTGCCCCACACCACACCACCCACACCCACACACACACCCACACACACACACACACACACACACACACCCACACACACACCCACACCCACACACACACACACACACACACTGCCCCCACATGCTGCCCTCAGCTGGCAGCTGGGCTCTCAAGAATGAAGAAAGGACAGAGCTACAGATTCTCCACATTCCTCCCAGGCAGTTCCATTCGCCTTGGTTCTCCAAAGTGGATTTAGCCACGTTCAGATGAGGAGGTGGAGAGCCAGGAATTAAGAATTAGGCTGAGGAAGCGGAGAGGATGGTCAAAGCGAATGTAGGCAGCAAGGTCAGAGAAAGGAATGTGTCAGGGCCAGGTGGACAGACAGATGAGCCTGGATCAGGAAGCCAGCAGGGGAGGGGGACAGGGCAGAATGGCTGAACTTAAGATATTCTAAGAATCTGAGGAGAAGCAAAGAGAAACTAGACACACAGCTGGACAACCCAGAGACTAGCTTAGACAATACAGCTCAAACTTGGCCTCCACATTTTCTAGTCATTCTATTCAAGTAGAAGCCAACTCTAAGTTGAACTTCCCCTATAACCTACAACTTACAGAGAAGCAGCACAAACATTTGAGCAGAGTGAGGATGGGTGGGAAAAAAAAAGGGAGAGGAACATGGAATTTCATGACTGTCTCTTTTGAGTGTTTAGGAAATTATACTTGAGATGAATCTTAGTTTCTTATTTTGTATTAATTTTTAAGTATTTTATTTTGAGTTTCTTTATAATGGGAATGGTAACTCATCCTTGTCATTTTTTATCTGAATTACCCCTTATTTTTTAAAAAGTTTTTTATTTTTTATCAAAGAATGCACAGAATGTAAAGAGTCAATAGCTCTACAAGGCTTATCACAAAAACCACAACAGTCCCCTGAATGCCTT